CCTCTCGCTCGGCGAAGCAATCAATGGCGACTACTATCTGGAGGCAGTGCTTTCGAACATCTGATAACTAGCATGGCACTGATTCTCGTGTCGAGCGCAGTGCCGTGGTCTTTGTGGCTGCGGATGAAGGTTCGGGCGCATGTCCACCTTTTCGCACCAAACCGGATGCCCATCTTGGATTGCAGCCGAAATTCAGGCCTGAAGGTTAGAGACTGGACCATAAAGCTATACATTTTTCGCCAATCAACAGGAAAAAAAAAAAATGGAAGTTGTAACCGAAAAGTCACCAGTTCGATTCTGGTTCGGGGGATCTATACTTTTGTTTTGAATGTGTAGTTGTCGCTTATCTTTTGTAAGCCGGAAGCCCATGCATGGAAATCATGCATTATTTTTGGCCGCTACACCAGCAAACCCCCGATGGTCTAGTTGGTTCATGGCGTTCGGCTGTAATGGAAATTGTGACCGAAAAGTCACCAGTTCGATTCTGGTTCGGGGGAATATCTTTTTGTATTCTGTTGTCCTTTTTCCTTTTTTCATTCATTGAAGAACCGCAGCATTGGGCTTTTCGTAAAAAAAAAAAAAAAAAAAAAAAAAAAATTTTTTTTTTTTTTTTGGATCAGCCCTAAGAGGGTTGAAGGAATGTTGCTAGTCCACGAGGGTTGTTCGTTGGAGTAATGCATTCCTGGGTCGACCTATCGAGGCAGGGTAGTAACATGACTACTGTATAGAAAGTCCAGTTCGGGCACAGCAGAAAGCCTTCGCAGCGGCAGAACGGTTTCACACCCCGGAAGATACTTGTAGCGACTGGAGAAGTTTAATCAACGAGTGCTTCCGATCTTGCCCACCTACGTTGCCAGATGATGTGAGGAAATCATACATAAGTTGTTTCGGCGACAAGAAATCCACCCTACAAGCTGGCAGGAGACCTACTGGCTTTGGATGCCTTTGTGGGCCGACAGCGGCACTGCGCTGTTCTTTCATGCCGTGATAGAACGCCCCGAGGAGAATACATGATAAAAGTCATCTTTAACTGCACCATGTACGGCGACGAGTTTCATACATCCCTCGTTTGGTCCTTCCCACCACTGCAAGCGATCCACGACCCGGGCCGAAAAGCACAACCATTTGTATCTCCCTCCCTACCTCACCCAATGAGTACAACGGAGACGAGGGTTGCGATTCTCGGCATTGGCACGCAACATTGTACACTACATGCATTGTACATGCCCAATCCATGCGCGTGCTGTCCTAAACCAGAGGTGGTTTCAGGATATTTCTGGTTGCTTGATGCTCACACAGAGAATGCTCATGCTTGCAACTTTCGCCCAATCAGCCTCTACCACGCCAACACTCTTGTGCGTTGGCCTACCAGTGCTCACGCTGGTCCCGGCTTGTATGTAGGCCCCCTCCAGCTGGCTAGGGACGTTGAGCTCATCTGACCTGGAACACAGCTCGCCATCCTAGCATGTCTGGACCCCCCAGCGCAAAGAGATTAGCGCACAGTTGAACATGATATTCCCTACTACCATTGCATCTACCACACCACGTTCAATCGAGCTAGTTATCGAATTCCAGGTAATCAAGCTGATAGTATGGGTCTTGGTTGATATGTCTGTGTGCGTCTGCAAACCATGCAGTCGTACTCCGGTGGGATCCTTTGCTTCCATAGTTGGTGCATATCGACCGAGTCTCGTCGGGGGAAGGCAAGTCTGTCCACGATGAACTTTTGATGTGATGCTCAGCCAGAGATAGGATGCAAGAATGAAAAACCGAGAGCCATTCGATGGCTGCTCGGAGACCATAGGGGATGTTACAAGAGCAAAAGAGCAAAAATAAACTTCCCCCGAACCAGAATCGAACTGGTGACTTTTCGGTTACAACTTCCATTACAGCCGAACGCCATGAACCAACTAGACCATCGGGGGTTGTTGGGGTAAGCAGATTATTATTAGGTTATAGACGAGGTAAGTCTAGCCACGATTATCTGCTCAAGAAGACATCCAGCCACGGGAGCCCAGTGCGTGCCGCGGACAACGGAACGTATAAATAAATATTCACTGACCATGGCTCCGCCATTGAATACGGTAACTGGAGCTTGCCTGAGTGCATAGCGTCAGGTAGTTAGCGCTTCAAATGTTTTTTTCAAGGGTACGTATAATGTGTCCACTCTGCATGTTAGGCAAAGCCATTCGCACGGGCGCTCCCTGCCATATTCAGGGAAACACTCACGGTTATTCGGAGACCCCGGAGTGACCAGCAACAGCCCACGAGTCAAGAATCACAGTGACGGGCAAGACCGCGGCCTGCCTTGTTCCATGTGTCTGCGGCCTTCCAATACATCAAAAAGATGCGCAAAAGAGAAGATCCCCCGAACCAGAATCGAACTGGTGACTTTTCGGTTACAATTTTCTATTACAGCCGAACGCCATGAACCAACTAGACCATCGGGGGCTTTTCTTGATTAGTCAGAATAGAATTGTAAATATACACGGCCAGCAGCTCTATCGAGCAGATATGGTCCCTCGCTCTCCTAGGTCTAACTAGCGAATTAGCCTAAGACTGTATCAACAGCGTTGGGCGTGTTTCTATTAATGAACTACCACCTCAGGTCTTGGTACAGAGATGCAGACTGTATAATCTTTCTATCCAGGCCCCCACGGGCTCCGGTTGTAATCCTTGAACAGATGTTTATTTCAATGGTAGAATTTCTCTTCTGTGGCGTTGCTCTCCATTGATCGCAGCCAGGTCGTGCAATCTAGTGAGCTTGTTCTGAGACACTGGGGAGCTCCATCCTTCTTTCGACCTTCTCTTCCTGCATTTGCGATATGTCACCTCACACGCCCCCTCGTATCTGATATACTGACACTAAAGCAGCCTTCCCTGTATCCGTTTATGGCCCGTCGCAGACGGTCGTCTCTCTCGCCTAATGGCAAGACATGTATCTCGAGTGCGACTTCTCTGCATGGTAGCATACAGCATGAGCATGTTGTTGTTGGATATAACCCGCATACTACTGTTACTGATCAATTGGGACTGGTTTACCATGTTCGTTGTGCCTGACCCTGCCATCTCTTGCCTGACTACTATCGCGCCGCAGATCAGCCAGCCAGCTTCGCTGCCACAGTAGGTGGTCATTGGCGACTAGGATACTATATTTATATTTCTGTTGAGGATCGTTTGGTTACCATACTCGTTTTGGCTACTGGCGCGATCGGCACTCGCATCGGGCTTTCTGTCGGTTACAATTCGCGCTGTTGTGGGTGCCATATAGTGTAGGTACGAGAGAATTATATCGAGTATTCTTTCTGGAGGTTGACTCACTGCATGGAGGGCTCGTCGACTCAAATGGAAGCCCAAATGTATACTACAACTCGGCTTGCGAGTAGCATACAATTGGTGGCACCGTCAGGCGGGATTGTCGCGACAAAGCCGCATACGGTGCATAGCCGGATAGAGGCTACCCGACGGTTCGAATATATCGATTGTAACCTGTAACAACATTTGTGCTAGTTCTTCTGGGCTACCAATGTCCTATGCTCCATTCTGCTGGACTCGTCATTTGAGATATCTCCACTGGTCATCCGGGTGTGGCAGGGAATTCCTCGTGGCTATCCGAGTCCAGAGATTGTATACGGACTCGGTCCTCCCCGTGCAGCCACGGCGGACATCGCAGGTGAGACCGGGTCGGTTGGTGCGTGGAATTTGTGAAGTGCTCTGGCCCGCTTATGTAGCATACCTTATTGCCAGCATAACATGAAATGGGGCAATGGCGCATCTGGGAGCGCGTCAGACTGAAGATCTGGAGGTGGCCGGTTCAAGCCCGGCTTGCCCCAATGTTTCTTTTTTTATTATTTCGTCGTCTATATCAGCTCTAGCGGGTCATTCGAATGGTGTCTGGAAGTGGAGGCATCTTTCCCCCTTCGCCGGCTAGCGAGGCGGGTAGGGCTTGTTGCTGACAGGATATCTGCTGCCGGACACCGCCTGCGTTCTGCGTCATGCCCTCTATTGATCCAGTATACCCAGCGCTGGTATGATTGCTTGAGCAAGACGTACTGACAATGATATGCGGAGTGCCATCGGAGAATGAATTACGGAGCACATGCCTATGGGAACAAATGTGCGAATGCCATAGAAGATGTATTGTTAATGTCAACACAAGTCTTTGCCGTGATCAACCGTCAACCGTCCGACAAGAATTCCCCAACAGCGCCATAAGAAATACATACAAGACAAGTTATAATTGTACTTTGGAAAATGTACAAGACCATTCAAATCACTAATACGTAGCCGCAGTTGAAAATTGCGAGAGATGTTGTTGAGAGTACGGTATCTGCTGTGAAACCTCCCCTGAGCTTAGTGGGAGTCATCTATAAGACCCAAGGAAAGGGGACACGTTCCATCAATTCTGGGACGATGGCGCATCTGGGAGCGCGTCAGACTGAAGCATTAACTTCGGCCGCCAGGTTTCATCCTTCGGGATGTCCCTAGTAATCTGAAGGTGGCCGGTTCAAGCCCGGCTCGTCCCAAATTCTTTTTCCCCGGTCTTTTTTTTTTTGACGTACCGCCGCCCCTCCATCATTTGGCATCTGTCAACATCACCATTGAACGAACCACCCAGCTACAGATATCCTCCGTATCCTTTATCGTTGTTGGCCGTTGCTCAACCAAGCGTACGCCACCTCATCTAATAGTTGCACACAAAGATCCTGCACCAGCGAATACACCCATGTCACTGCTCACTCTCAGCCCCGTGCGGACCGTGTCTCATTGGTTAAGCGATCCCCATCCAAAGGGCCAAGGTCAGCATCGAGCTTTCAGCTCCGCCTCGTACGAGCAACCATCACGTCTCCTGATTAGTCGCGACAGGCCGCCAACATGGGCCGCCTGGTGACTAGGCTGCACCTTCGCGCGGCGGTGCCAAGGGACCTTTTTATAAAATCGGCCAAAACAAGCGAGCTGAACGAAATGGTCGACAGAAGGACAGCCTGGACCAATTCCACTGCCACCGGCGTATATATATTACTCCTGGGATGCAATGCCCCTGCTGCGGCCCAGGATGGAGGCCCAAATAGTACGTGCGGAAGAAGAGTGGCATACAGTATCCCGCCATGCGGTTCCAACTCTCCGAGCTAGACCCCAAATCCGATGCTCTCTCCGAGTTCGTCACCTGCCAGGTTACCAGTTTTGGAGAACCATTCCAGCCGATTTACCGGTTCTTCTACCCTATCTTTGGAGGTGAATCTGAGGCACAGAAGCAAGAGGCGCTCACGAACCTTGTGCAACTGCACCGAGAGTGGGCTCGCGAGGACCCAGACTCTGTCTTCCTGCAGATCAGGGACCGTGATCGGGACAACCAGCTTGTTGCCGGCGTCTACTTCAAGGTCCACAGGCAGAACCCATACGCGCGAGGAGGGAACGGAGACCCCGGCGGTGACGGCGAGGAAGAGCACGACCCGTCTGCTGCTCCGTGGTATCCAGAGGGCCCTCGACGAGAGTATATCACGCGATGTATAGAGATATTCTCCGAGCCGCACATGAAGCTTATGCAGAAGCCGCATGTTTGTAAGTTGCTGCCCGCGTGCTGTCGATCTGGCTTTCACTCTTGTCCGTGGGCTAACTACGCGCACCGGTAGATATATTTGTCGGGTTCGTTTTACCCGAATACCGCCAACTGGGTCTGGCAGACATGCTCTTGGTCGAGGTTTGTCGACGGGCAGACGAGCTGGGGCTGGAGTCCTGGCTTGAAGCGGTTATCGCAATGGGGGTGACGATCTACAGGCGCCACGGGTTTATCCCCTATAGCGGTGGTCTTCTGGTTCAGCCTGCTGCGACAGAATTGGAGGCCCAGGATGCAGATTGGCAGGATATCGAGGCAAAGATGCAGCCTCTGCGATACTGGCCCATGTGGCGGCCGCCTCGTGGAAAAATAGAACTCGGGAAGACGAGCCCACCATGGGGCGAGCCGAGTACAAATAGGAGGTTTTTGGGCAGGCTATGATTTCCGAGGTGGCTAGGAAATTTGCCTATCCGGCAATTGAAAACTACGTTGGTACCAATCGCCTGTACAGCTACTGTCGTGCGTATAATTTGGCATGCTATTACCACGTGGGATACTCCCCCCATCCCGTTGAACCACGACAGTCCCGGGGCTGTTGTTTCCCCTTGATCCATCTGCCATCCACTCAATACTATACCCGGTCCTCCGTCATACATGGCCACATGGAATCTGTTTTTGAGGCACACTGATCTCACCTGCTAGATCCCACCCTGCATAGTGTGGGTCAGATCAATCACTGTCGTTGATTTCCAATATCAACCGGCAGTATATAATACGGCCAGAACTAATTCAAATACAGCAGGGGTCCTGAAGACATCTTCGGCTGGTGTAGAGCATATTAGAACTACAACCAATTACAAACTATACCTGCTGCGCACCCGCGATCTACGATCTCGACGACCCCAAGGTCTCTTGACAAATCAGTCGGGGTGGTTATGGCATAGGGTCTCCCGAGATAGCCTGTTGCTCAATTCCCAGGGGTGATGTATAATCTTGCTTGTCATACTGTTAGTCCGATAGATTGCCCGTCGAGGCTTCGAGTGTCACTTTTCTCGTACCCAACGGTCTCCAGCAAGCCGTTCGGTGCGTCAAGCGCCATCAACTAGACCGTGGACAACCTCGAATTCATTACTGGTTAATCTTCGTCCCCCTTATTCTATCACAATGGTAGCCAGCCATTGAAATGCTAGTGTACCTACTCCAATACCACTGGCGCTTGACAGGCTCATATGATCGCAGTACGTCGTTGTACTGTACACACAGTTAAACAGAGTCAAGGACGACAGACAAGCCCAACATTTGTACAGTACACACGCAGCGCCCCGACGTCATAGTCACGCTTCCCACGCTGCACCATTCAGCCTACGTACCAGAAATCGGAGTCCAGTGAATAAAGAAAGGCTCCAACGAGTCACCCCGTAGCGCACTGCAGCTTACGTTGGTAGATCCCCTCCACGATACAATCTACTTTCATTGCAAGGCTATGAAACTTCAAAACTTAAATTTTTACATCGAATACCCCCGATGGTCTAGTTGGTTCATGGCGTTCGGCTGTAATGGAAATTGTAACCGAAAAGTCACCAGTTCGATTCTGGTTCGGGGGAGTTCTACTTTTTGCCTCTTTTTTTTTGAGATCCCGTCACCAGGGCTATGAGGAATCTTATTGAATGTCTCTGACGACCTGGGGATCATCGCCCAGTCGATCACGTCGGCGCCGGTTGCGCTACATAGTATGAACAGGCCTATCGACCCTCCTATTCCCATTTAGCCAGCAGCGAACAGTTTCCTTGACCTATGTATCCAGTCAGTGGGAGCCTTCGGCGACGGAGCGAGCCTTGCAACCGTGCTTATCCGTCCTACAGGTATTGAACTACATACAACTCTCTTGAGGAGATCTAGACCCGGCTGACGGGAGTCAGTTACTTTATTCTACCATATACATACAAAAAAATCTTTATATATCGACATCGGCCAGCCGGAATCTGTACGGTGCCATACCCTCATCCCGAGGGCTACCTATTGCCTATGACGACTCTCCTGTGTATGTCATGCAGGGGATATGCAATGGCCTCCCTCGGCACGTGGGAGATAACGCCGGGGGATGACGCATGCGTGTATACTTTTCTGGGTGCCGTGCGTACAGTACAACAACGGTGGCGCAACCACGCGGCCCTCGCTCAGTGGGCTCCTGTACCAGGGACTGTTGGTATAGTGGGAAAGCTGTATAGGCCTCAATTTGATGGGCCATAGTGATGAAATCCAGTGCAGGTTATACGGCGTTCAATACATAGGAGGTATAGACCTTCTGCTGGGGGGGTAGTTATAGCTGCACCGGTCCCCGGCTGTGTTGCGGCAGGGTGTCACTTTAATCCTCACGAGACTTTCATGGACACTTCTTGAACTATACTAGGACAAAGACTACATGGGCAGGGTAGAAAGAAAGAGGGGCAATAGCAAACTTGACAACTGGTAACCCAGCCGAACCCCCCCCCGGGGGTAAAAAAGACATTCCCCCGAACCAGAATCGAACTGGTGACTTTTCGGTTACAATTATACCATTACAGCCGAACGCCATGAACCAACTAGACCATCGGGGGAGTGGTTATAATCTAGGCACAAACTACGCACTATCAAGATATAATCTAAATGGAGATCTCCGTATGCACGATCGATGTTTCGAAGAGTTGAGAATCTCCTCCATCGGCTATGAGCCATGTTTCTTGGTGTTGAAGTCACCTTTGAAGGGTGAGGAATATATCTATAAAGAGATACGTGTGCTTGTTTAATTGGTACTTAAGCTAGATATGATGGCTTGGTCATCATGTCGGCGTTGAGCCATGAACAGTATATCGGTAGAGGCCAGATGGGTGTGCCGTGGGATAGTTATAGCGTCCATGAACTAAGTAACCTGCGATGGCTACCGCGTGTTTCGTTCTTTTCTGGTCGGTGTGTCTTTCGATTCCTGCTCTCGAGCCCAGCGACGAGTGGTAGTGTGTGTGGGCTGGAGGCATGATCTGGTCCCCAAGTGCCAATCCAGACTCGGTGTCATCACCGACGGGATATATACATACCAAATGCTGATTTGAGACGTTCATTAGAACCCAGCTACATAAGTGATCGTGACCCCCCCAAGCAAGAACAAAGAAACCACAAGCTACCAACAGCACAAAGGGAAACAATACGTGACACCCCAGCACCCGGCAACGGTACAAGCAACCCGTAGAGACCGGTATCCCCTGGCCGTCATGCACCCCCCAGTTCAGTCCTCGCCCACCACCCACCAGAAACCAGCCACCACAACCCAGCGAATACCCGCTATAAGCCCAGAAGCTCACCGCGAGCACTACACATACCCAAGGCCAAACTCCACCCTAATGATCAGACACAGACAGGGAGCCACAGCATCTTACCCCTTCCCCCAACAGCATCGGGGAAGTGACATTGCCAGAGACGGACAGAAAGGCACCAGAGCACCCCATATCGAAACCCCCCCCCCTGGCATTTATAGCACAAGCCAATCAACCAACCACAGAGACCAATCTATCAGACACCCTCCCCCTCCCCCCCCCCACTCAGGTAACAAGCAACACCGAAAGCGGAGCAGAGTACAGGCAAGCCGATCCAGCAAAGCATAGCCACCGCCTGCGCATTCACCCCAAGGAGCCCGCGATGATCCCGCCAGCCCAATCAGCCCGCACTGCTCGACACGATAGGATATATATAGTCAGGGGCGCGAAACATGCTACGCTCGGGAGACGCGGGTCACTTCCATGCTCCCTGCTCCCTGCGACTACAGAAGCATAAGCATGCCTCTATGCGCACGCGGCATGCGAGAAAAGACGCCCGAGATGATAATGGAGGATCGCTGGGTATTAGTCCAAGGCAGGGTTGATCAATGCTATCGAGATTCTCAGAGGTTGCATCACTTGTCCAGCCCAAGCTGTAGAGCAGGATGAAAGTGGGGGGTGGCCGTGAAGCATGGCAAAACCGAAATAACCGACGATTGGGGAATGGGGATGGACAGGGAAGGTGGCCAAGGGAACATGAACACTCGACTAGCAGAACCTCTAATCGTGGTTCAGGTGAGAGGGACAGAATGAACATTTTTACGTACATATATAGGCCTCGTCACGCCAGGACACAACTACAATCTACAGGTAGGAAGAAAATAGAACGAAATGATTCATGATTCAAGTTTTGTAGGATCAACTACATAACCCAAGTCTAGTTCCGTAATTCCATATTTTGTAATCATGAAAACATCATCACAACATCATCACCCTTCAGAAACCAGCTTATTTCTTACCGGCCTTCTGGGCAGCCTTGGTGACCTTACCGCTGCCACCAGCGGACTTCTCGACGGCCTTGATGACACCGACAGCAACGGTCTGGCGCATGTCACGGACGGCGAAACGACCAAGGGGAGGGTACTCAGTGAAGGACTCAACACACATGGGCTTGGAGGGGATCATCTTGACGATAGCGGCATCACCAGACTTGATGAACTTGGGGTTGGTCTCGATGGCCTTACCAGTACGGCGGTCAATCTTCTCAAGGAGCTCAGCGAACTTGCAAGCAATGTGAGCGGTGTGGCAGTCGAGGACGGGAGCGTAACCAGCGCCGACCTGACCGGGGTGGTTGAGGACGATGACCTGAGCAGTGAAGCTGGCGGCACCCTGAGGGGGGTCGTTCTTGGAGTCACCGGCAACGTTACCACGGCGAACCTCCTTGACGGAAACGTTCTTGACGTTGAAACCAACGTTGTCACCGGGGACACCCTCCTTGAGCTGCTGGTGGTGCATCTCAACGGACTTGACTTCAGTGGTGACGTTGGCGGGAGCGAAGGTCACGACCATACCAGGGGTGATGACACCAGTCTCGACACGACCAACGGGCACAGTTCCAATACCGGAGATCTTGTAGACATCCTGGAGAGGAAGACGGAGGGGCTTGTTGGAGGGACGGACGGGAGGCTCAATGGCGTCGATGGCCTCGAGGAGAGTCTTACCGGTGGACTTGCCAGCCTTGGTCTCCTTCTCCCAACCCTTGTACCAGGGGCAGTTGGAGGAAACCTCGAGCATGTTGTCACCGTTGAAACCGGAGATGGGGACGAAGGGAACGGCCTTGGGGTTGTAGCCGACCTTCTTGATGAAGTTGGAGGTCTCCTTGACGATCTCGTTGTAACGGTCCTCGGACCACTTGCAGGTGTCCATCTTGTTGAGGGCAACAATGAGCTGACGGACACCGAGGGTGAAAGCGAGCAGAGCGTGCTCACGGGTCTGGCCATCCTTGGAGATACCAGCCTCGAATTCACCAGTACCGGAGGCAATGATGAGGATAGCGCAATCGGCCTGGGAGGTACCAGTGATCATGTTCTTGATGAAGTCACGGTGACCGGGGGCATCTATGACGGATGAGTTAGATGATGATTGATAGCATGTAGAGTCATGTGACACAACTTACCAATGACGGTAACCTCATACTTGGCAGTCTGGAACTTCCAGAGAGCGATATCGATGGTGATACCACGCTCACGCTCGGACTTGAGCTTGTCAAGAACCCAAGCGTACTTGAAAGAACCCTTACCGAGCTCAGCGGCTTCCTTCTCGAACTTCTCGATGGTACGCTGGTCGATACCACCGCACTTGTAGATCAAGTGACCGGTAGTGGTGGACTTGCCGGAATCGACGTGGCCGATAACGACAATGTTGATGTGAGAACGCTCGTCCTTACTGTTGATAAGAAATGAGTTAGCTGGATGATTCCTTTCGATGTTGAATCCCAGCCACCAGTGCCCTAGTGGATGGGAAAAACTCTGATCGTTGGATAGACCCGAGTCGACGGACTCAAGA